GATATCATAAATATTTTTTTATAGATTTTTTTAGTTTTTGTTTTATTTTAGTGAAATGTTTTATTTCAGGTTTATTATTCACAGAATTTCAGAATTTTCAGTGTCAAATGATGGGCATCTTCTTAAGACAAGTACACAAAGTGAAAATACCTCATAATACCTAATAATAATTTTTTTAGAACAAATAATTTTCTCCTAGGAAACAAGTAATGTCAATATCTTTAATCTATGCATAAAACGTTTAAAAAATGTGTTCTGAAGAGACAAGGAATGTTTTTTCAATGAATTACATGTGTCAAATTGAATGAAGAATGTTTAAACGAAATGAAAAATCCAATTTAAAAAATATTTGGTATAAAAAGTCCACTTTCAAGAGTTATCTTTCCTAATTAGCCAAGATTTCAAAACACTATGGAACGTTTGACATTACATCTGAAATTCATAACAAAGCTTTAAATTGCCAGAGTATACATTTAAATCAAAACAAATATTAGTCTCGTTCAACCAGACCCTCGGCTGTCTCCGTAAATCTCCGACCACCCAGAGGTCTGCTGGTCGGAGTTCACGAGACGCCGACGCGGGTTGGAACGAGACTAAACAAATATATAAATTAACACCAACACAGTAAATGGCGCAATTAAATAAAATTTTAATTTCAACAAGGTTGTAGATTTTAACTCGAATTTCCTCCATACATACATGTCAGTGATTGATAGAGTTCACTGCATGCATGGCTATGAAATTGACATTACTTGTTTGGCGAAGATTTGACAGTTGCTTTCTTTTGTTTCTGCCTAACAGCAATTCTTCTTGGTTTATGCATAATAAATCCGTTACTTTGTTTTCACTGTTTACAACACCGCATGTTTCATCTATTTTTAAAGCGTTTTAAAGGCCAGGGTCATATTATAGAGGTACCTACACTACTCGTTCCGGGCAAACCGGTCGACACAATGGAGGTTTATTTTTTTGTGTAGTTCGTCATCAAAAAGTGGTGTAATGAGCCTCCTTAAATACTTGTGTAGGCCGAGTCGTCGGTAAGGCAGCTATGGCTCTTTATTAAAATTCAAAACATGCAAGCATGACAGTTTTTGTTCATTGTAATATACATCATGACGTGCGGTTCAAACGCCTTTCGTGGTATCGGGTGAAACTGAGGGTATCCACGACGGGAAATATAGCGTAATTTCACTATAATAGTGAAATACCACTATTATAGCGGAATTTACGTTTCCCCCAACCTGTGTAAGTAACTTACCTTTGAAAAAAAAGTTGGTCACTACCCCCCCCCCCCCCCCCCCCCCGAAATAGGATTTTCGTGTTTGGGGAACTTTATATATATATTTTTTTTTTGCTTGTCAAAGAATTTCTGGACTTGAGCCCCCTCCCCCCTCCCCCCCAAATGCAAAATAGGATTTTCGAGTTTGGGGAACTTTCCTTTTTTTTTTTTTTGCTTGTAAAAGAATTTCTTTTCTTTCTTTTATTTTTTTTTTTTGCATGTCAAAGAATTTCTCGACTTGAGCCCCCCCCCCACTTTTAAGTTTGTGACTACGCCTCTGGCTACACAAAAATAAAACGGGAATGGATACTGCAGTTTGATAATAAATGGAAAGAATATAGAACTTGTTTTATCATTCTTGAAAAATGCAAATAAATCATGTTCTAAACAGAGCAAAATTTTTTCAAATATTTTCAAAGACAACAAGTTCTCTTTACATGTAAAATTCGTTACATAAGATTTTAAAATTTATTATTTACCAAACACTAAATTTGGGTTTTTTTATAATAACACTTTTCAATCCAAATCCATGGCAATTATAACAAGAACAAGACTATTTAATCATAAAATGAAATTAGTCGGCAAACGGGCCTGTAGAAGTACCCCCTCCTCCTTACTTTTTTCTGAGTATTATGACTTTGCAACAGTAAATTTTCCTTATATGCTGGTTGACCCCCTAACCTTCAATTTTTTAAATGTTGTTAGGTCGAGCGAAAATTTCCCGGATTGGACGGTTAATTACAATATTTATCGTCATAGTTTTAGGTTGAATTGCAATCCTTTTAATTGACTACCATGTACGTTTAAAATTCATAAAAAATTATTTGCCAGTGCCCGGGGGGCTTCCCCCCCTTTTTCGTTTTTTTTTCTTTGGCAAACATAATTAACATTTTTCTATCGTAAATATCCACTGAAAAGCCTCGTCCCCTTTTTTGTTTGATAGTTTAGATCTAAGTAATATATGTTTTTGTGTTTAGAAAAGAAGGGGGAAATTTTTAAGGTGCCTCCTACCTCAACGAAATAGGATTTTCGAGTTTGGACACTTCTCACCCATCACCGCCTTTTTTTCGCTTGTCATGCAATTAGGTTTTTCATGCAATTTTTTTTTTGTCAAAAAAAAAATCTAACCCCCTCCCCACTATCAAAAGCGATGCTTTACTGACATTATATGTGTCTGTATATTATAATTTTAAATTGTTTTAACTCCTTTATATGCATTTTACCTATTCAAAGCAAACTCGATAAAAAACATAATATATTAAGCTTAAATTCACATAACTAAAATGACTACAATTTACATAAAATTTTTCTACATTTACATGGATATTTATGAAATCACTACACATTGTTCAAAATTAAAGACTGCATGTTCTACTTTGTCACATACCGGTACATAGTTATATAAAAAAAATTAATAATTATATTCGATGTTTCAATATAAAACTTAAAGTTGCGCAATTATTTGCCTTATTTTTATTTTTTACTGTTTTTTCCAAAAGGTTTTCTGTCAAATTCCACAACCCAGTGATGCAACAATGTTTCAAAATCTCTGTATGAATTGCTAGTAATCCTTAATCAAAAGGTATTATGGTTGTGTCAAATAACTATAAATCGATTAGCGTACAGGTGTCTTGCATTCCTTCACCAGCAGGGAGAGTTCTCTCTAAATGAAAAGGTCACGCATCCACATCCTTAATTATTACAAACGTACACACAGTGGGTGGTGGGGGAAAGAGTTTTATTTGTTGTTAACTGTCTTGTATTACATCACATGCTGATTTTATTAATTTTTATGAAGCCCTTTTACTATATCAATATTTTACACTTTCAAAAGAAATTGCTATATAGACAATGATAGAGGAATGACACTGTGACAATTTAAAAATCTAACAATTAAACACACAACTGGTAATATGCATCCCTTTAACGTTATTTATACATGTGTAGAATGTTTTTAATGGGGGTGTTCACATCCCATACTTAAGATTGTGTGTAAATTTATTGTTAAAACACATTGTACATATTCTTGAGAGTCTAGCGGAATTCAAAAGACTAACCCTTTTTTAAAAAGATTAAATAAATATTACTAACACGTTACTAATTTATAGGTATATTTTTCAAGCATCCAAGCCACCCTGAGCTGTTCTCTAATGAATATTAATAAAATGTGCGCAATGAGGATGCTCTATTTATTGATGTTGTTTCCATTCGTGCAGTTTTGTTTTTACGTTTGTGCAATTTTCTCACTATTTCGTGTAAATATTTTGTTGATTGTGTAGTTTTTCTGCAGTTTGTGTAAATTTCAATAACTTTGTGTATACTTTCCTCACTTTGTGTAAGTTTTTACTTACTCGTTAATTTTTTTTTAAGGTCGTGCAGAAAATAATTTTGAACCAATCGGCGTGCCATAATTCTTCTCATATTTCTAATACCGTATAGCGGGTTATTTTAGCGGGGTGCTAATTTTGGCTTATTTTGGCGTTTTGAGGGTAGCCCGCTAAAATTTTAATCGCTAAAATATTAAGTTCTCTTCTAAGTGTTCATCTGCAAAGAGCTGAAACTCTGTGTCCGCTAAAATAAATTACGCCAAAATTATTGGGCTACCTTTCAGCGGCAAAACGCCAAATTTTAACCCCCCAAAAAAACCCGCTATACGGTATTTAAAAATTAATGAAATTTTCACAGAATCAAGAAGACAATACCAGTAAGTGATAGTATCAATGAGATTAAATTTCACCGTTTTATATTAGAGGCAAGGTCAGGTCAAGGTCATTATCTTTTCCCTTGACATTAACAATAAAAAATAACTGTAGCCAATCATGTGATACCTACTTCTATTTCAAAAGTTTAATGATTGTTCTTTTTGCATAAAAACATATTACTACATCGGGTCTATAGCATGATGTTACCAAATTTACATAAATAATTTAACTTAACTGGGCATTGGCTAATCTGAATTTTCTCTGTTTTTCTTAATTTTTTAGTATATATTAGTTATTTTCATATGCTTCCTATATTTAACTTTTTCTTTTTTCACATATAATAAATAGTCCTATAAATGTACAAAATGATACAAAAACAAAAAGTTTTGATGTTTAGTAAAAGAGAAATAATACTTTTTATGGATTTTTGGCTCAAATCTGCACTTTGATAGGAAGCGTTTAAAAGCTAATAAAGTTCTAGTTTGTTTTAAATATCATTTTTTTCATATATTTTGAAAGTTTAGTCCCTCATTTTAATTAACTTACATTTGAAAATTTCTCCAAGACTTGATTGAGTAAAAATTATTACTAAATTAATTGTTCTATTATAATTTTGAGGGACAAAAAAAAAGATATTTTCATACGCCACCAATCCCCAAAAAAATAGTCCCTCTATTTTTTTAAACGCAGTTTACCATTTCTATTTAAAGATGTACAATTGTGATGGGAAAGAAAAATATGATCTTTTAAATTACTTACATCTCAAATATAAGACATATAAGCAAATATACTTTTAATGTTTCATCTAGTCAGAAACCAGAGAAGAATCCTACCTTAAATGGTATAAAAATGCTGAAATTCAATTGGCCCAAGCAGGCCTAGGGCTTGCCCTGCACTTACTTGAGTGGTTCCCAGACCTGGCTGATTTTCCTAATTTCTCAAAAAGGGGAGTTACCTAAAAACCTAGATTAATCCCTGTAGACAAGTATGATAGTAATTGTATTAATGGTATTTTGTAGTCAAGGTCTGCTGAAAATATTTGAGGCTGTGATGAAACATAAATTATCCCCTACATACCCCGCTATCATGGCTGGCTTTGAGTAAGTTATTCCTGATTCTGATCTTGAGAATTTTTTCCAGTACTACATCCATTGTCATAAAACATTTTTGTGTATTATGGTGGACTAATTCTTTTCCTGATTAAAAATTTTTAAATTTTCAGCTTCTCAATCAATGTGGATGATACAGGTCTTAAATTCAAAGTGAATGGATTCAACCAGAAGTTGCCTGTAAGAATTCTTATCAAACTGTTCACAAAAAAATCTTTTCTTTTTACAAGCATTGTTGAATAAATAAAAAATATGTTTAAAATTATGTATGATACTTCTTTATCATTGAAGCTGTATTGGTTTGTTATTGTTGTTTTGTAGGAGCTGATTGATCTACTTTTGACAGCTGTTTTTGACTATGCATGCGATGATGAGTTGTTTCCAATCATGAGATATAAAGTGAAGAGGGAGATTTTTAATTCCATCATCAAACCAGCTGAGCTTGTCAGGCAAGGATATCTAATTATTCACTTTGGTTTCCCTTGAGATATCATAACATTTTAGCCATTCCTTGATATTAGATACGAGACAGACAGTCATGTGAATTGTTATGAACTTCATATCAATCTGAACTGACAAGCTATTTAGATATTTATTTGAATTCCCAGTTAAGGTGGTGCGGTTTATCAAAAAAATTCTTACAAAAAACATATCCTGAAAATTTGATATAATTTTCCCCGAAATTTATGCATATTATCTGCAATTTTTATAAAATTTCCCTACTTATTTTTAATGTATTTCTATAAATGGGGTATTGTCATTAAACATTTTTTATGCTTTATATTGAAATATAGGGAACCCAGAACTTGTGAGACTGTAGCTCTACTGGTTTATAATTAAAACAAAGGAAGAGAAAAGTAGCAGTTGGGACTTAAACTTTAAAACAGCAATAAATAAAAAATATTTGCCACTCATCAAAATAAAAACCGATGCACAGAATTATGTATCTTAGTATAGTCTACTTGGGGCCAAATTATATTGTAATTGGACCAAAACTTAGGAGAAGCATTTTAAAAGAATTTCTCAGAAACTTCTATTTTAGTTACCATGGCAACACCGTTCATTGAAATCAAAAATAGATGCACAGAATTACGTATCTTAGAGTAGTTAACTTGTGTGCCAAGTTATATTGAAATCGAATTAAAACTGTAGGAGGAGTAGCATTTCGAAAGAATTTCACAGAAATTTCATTTTTAGTAGCCAAGGCAACATCATTCATTGAAAAAAAAAACCGATAAGAATTTGTTTTAGTGTATTATTTGTCCAAGTTATATTGAAATGGAAAAAAACTGTAGGAGGAGTAGCATTTGAAAGGAATTTAAGAAATTTCTATTTTTAGTAACCACGGCAACACCGTTCATCGAAATCAAAAACCGATGCACAAAATTTGTATTTAGTATAGTCGACTTGTGTGCAAAGTCATATTGAAATCGGATGAAAAGTAGGAGGAGTAGCTTTTTGAAAGAATTTCACAGAAATTTCTTTTTTTAGTATCCTCGTCAACACAGTTCATTGAAATAAAAAACCCGATGCACAGAATTATGTATTTTAGTGTAGTTGACTTGTGTGCCAAGTTATATTGAAATCGGACCAAAACTGTAGGAGGAGTACTTTTCGAAAGAATTTCACAGAAATTTCTATTTTTAGTAACCACGACAACACCGTTCATTGAAATCAAAAACCGATGCACAGAATTATGTATCTTAGTGTAGTCTACTTGTGTGCCAAGTTATATTGAAATCAGACCAAAACTGTAGGAGGAGTAGTTTAAAAGAATTTCACAGAAATTTCTATTTTTAGTAACCACGACAACACCGTTCATCAAATAAAAACCGATGCACAGAATTATGTATCTTAGTGTAGTCTACTTGTGTGCCATGTTATATTGAAATCGGACCAAAACTGTAGGAGGAGTAGCATTTTGAAAAATTGTTTACAGACAGACAGACAGACAGACAGACGGACAGACAGACGGACGGACACGGAGCATTATATCGCATTCATCATTTAAGTTATTGCGAAAATATATTAGGATGACCAATAACTTTTTTTCCATTTGTAAATTTATTATTCTAACCCAGAGGGGAATGAAGGGTACATGTATAAACATTCCTCGCTGGAATTAACATGCATCGACAACACCCGAGTGATAAAATATGATTTCTGTTTTTCTAAGGAAATTAATGGTGTAAATGATTTCAGGCATATATAGCACAAAAATTTGATCACTTTTTAAAAAATAACAGTAAGGAAAAACTTCCAGAAACTGGGGAAATTAGCCGGGTTGGGGGTGGGTGGGGGGTAAGGGGGATTTTTGAATTTTTTTATATCTATATAAGACCAACTAGTACATGGGCCTAACTTTAAACATTTGTTAATTAAAAATTCTCTTATTCAAATTTCCATGCATAAAATGTAAAATTGAATTAGTTTTACACTTAGAGTAGAGCTTTTGTTTAAAACTTTTAATAATACAAAAAAAACTTGTAAATTGTTTACAGTGTATATGGTTTACAGGTGTTTGTATAAATTTGGATTTTTGAAAGCATTAATAATTTATCAGCCAGTAAAACAAGGCATAGATGAGATTTGTCACTGGATTCAGATATCCGGACGCCAATATCCACTTTTTATCCAGACGATTTTTCATGGGAACGAAATTTTAAAATGTTATTTTGTCTTGTTTAACTGGTATTCAGATATCCCGGATGCTTCACATATCCGGACAAATTGACTGGGAACCTAACGTCAAAATAAATAGGGTTCCTGCAAAAAGTAACCAAACAATACTTAATAATAATGATGGTGATGATGATATAAGAAAAAAAAAAAGGGAAAAAGCATGTATTAAATTTAATGCGTTTTTAGTGTTGAGGATTGATTATCCTGAAAATTATACGCATATTTTCGCCCAGCTTTATTAGCAGTAGTCCCAAACGTTGTTCCCCCAGTTGCAAAAAACGTGCGCAAATACAACACCTCAAGTTTTCTGCTAAACAATTTTATTTATGATAACTTACTCTTGCATACCATAACTTTCATAGGCGTCGGAACCGGGGGGGGGGGGTTTCCCCCCCCCCCCTTTTTTTTCCCAAAATCCACTTGTTAACATTGAACATATCTTGAAATTTAGCCCCCCCTTTCCTTTGATACTTTTTAGTATAGGTTAAAATTGGTAAAAGTGTTGGTGTTTGGAAGAAAATTTTTTGGGACTGGACTTCAACCTTGCCCCCCCCCCCCCCCCCTTTCCATAAAAGTTTTTAAAGGTTAAAATTAGGATTTTCGTGTTTGGGAAATAGACTTTTTCTTTTTTTTTTCTTGTTTTTTTGGAGGTACAAAAAAATTTTTTTAACACTTAGCCCCCACTTTCAATTTGTTCCAAGGCCAATGATTTCATGCCGACTTATTCTGATTACTTTTGCAAATATTTCAATATAAATTATTCCATTCATTTGGTGTTGTATTTAATTTTTCCTTTGGGGATTACATATACTAATAATCACTTGAGGGTTCAGACTGAAATTTAATTATAAAGCATGTACGGGGTTTCGTCAAAAGCAGCACTTTTAATCTATTATTCATACTGATTTGAAGTCATTTGCAGAGAATTAAGCGGGGAAAAAACGCAACGTTGCCTTTTTGACGTAACTGACGTCATAATCAAATATGCACAAAACGCCGCTCGAATCGTCGAAATTGTGTACCAAAATTGATGTCAAAAGCAAACCCGCGACCTACCTTAATTTCTTGAATTTTAGTCTCTTAAAACCCATTATTAAAGAATATTGAACTTTCATGTAATCAGTTAATGAAGTGCTTCTTAATCACTAGCTACTCCCCATATCACACAATGAATGGACAAATAAAATTGTTATTACTGTAACGTTCATTCATTTTTTTATTTTTCCTTAAGAATCCTTCGATTTTCTGTGATAGACCCCCACTATAGGCCCGTCCCTGAAATATACAGTGTAATTGACAGTCTGACCAATGAGGATCTTCGACACTTCCTGACAGAGTTCAGACAGAGTATAAAAGCTGACGTCCTAGTGGTGGGCAATGTTACACCCAAGGTAAAGCTGAGGAAGATGAGTTAATAAAACAGTTAAAAACATCTCTAGTTTTGCCTTTTTAAAAAAGAAAAAGCCCATTGAGCTCTTTTGGTAGGTAAAAAAAATAAATTTTTCGCTTTATAACGCAAACGTCGCGAATAAACGCGAAACTTTCGCGAAATTACGCGTAATTTTCGCGTTATAACGCGTAACTTTCGCGTTATAACGCGAAACTTCCACGAATAAGCGCGTAACTTTAGCGTTATTATGCAAAACTTTTGCGTTATAACGCAAAACTATCGCGAATAAAACTAATTTCGCAAATAACTTGTTACTTTCGTGTTATAACGCGAATTTCCCGCAAATAAACGCATAACTTTCGCGTTATTACGTGAAACTTTCGCGTTATAACGCGACACTTTTGCGACTAAATGCGTAACTTTCGCGTTATTACACGAAATTTTCGCGTTATAACGCGAAATTTTTTGCGAATAAATATGCATATATATAATATACCCATGCCAGGAACCTTGATCTTGATTATGATAAAAACAAGAAAAAACCCGGAACTCTCAGCAACTTATTTATAAAATATAATTTCCTTAGAAGATGTACTGGAGAAATATGCCAGAATAGAATAGATTAGTCATCAGAATATTTTCTTCTTTTTTAAATCTTCTCAATTGATAAATTGATTTTTTTTCTTTTACATGTTTTTCAAATTTTAAATTCAAGAAATTCTTTAGACTGATTATTTTTTAAGAAAAATCTCCACTTGAAACTTTTTTCAGGCTGTTTTTTATCAGTTACACATTCTGCATACACAACGTACCACTAGTAAATTAAGCAATCAATCATTTTTGACTAAAAGTTTACATGATAAAACATAACTTAAAAGTAAATGAACAATATATCACTTCATGAGCTCAACGGGCCATATATGTATTTAAATAACAATTATAATTGTAGTTGTTTTTAAAATTTATGGAGGGTTTAAAAAAAATTATTGTGGACTGGGCCAAAAAAAACTATTAAGGTATATACAGCAGATTTTTAATTTTAATTAATTGTCAATTTTTTCCCCATATCGTATTTTCTAGTGAATCTAACAGAAAATGAAAATCTACTATCCAATTTTCACAATACTGAGATCTTGTTCTTTATAAAATAAAATTATTTCAAATTTTTTAGAGAGTCATATATAAAGACATCGGAAAGGGTGTTTTTCCCCCGAAATTCATAATCTTTATAGTTATAATAATAGGGATTGAAGATTAATTTTTGGGGAAACTCGCATAATTTTTGAATTTTTAACAGCGCTGAGAAAGACCATCCATGACGGTAAAGATGGATTCAATAGGAAAAAAACTTAAACTTGTAGCCTGAGATAGTCCAATTTAAAATAGCTTTTAATTGCTTATATTGGAAAAAAAAACTTGATCACAAAATCAAAAGAAAAATGAGATTTAAGCAAATGTCTTGGTAAAATGGCAGAAGTTTCACGTTATATCGCGAAAGTTTCTCGTTATTTGGGAAAATTTCCCTTATAACCAAATTACGGTTTATTCGCGAAAGTTACGTGTTTATTCACGAAAGTCATGGTTAGAACGCGAAAATTACGCGTTTATTTGCAAAGTTTCCGATAAGGAAATTACCCTTTATTTTTAAAGTTTCGCGTTATAACGCGAAAGTTATGTTTATTCGCGAAAATTTCCCTTATAACACGAAAAATTAATTTTTTTCACTTCCTAAGTGAGCTCAATGGGCTTTTGTAAAAAAGAAATGCACAAGGAAAATTAAAATATGATTATTTATTAACTGGCCAAGATAACTGTACTGTTAAGGGCAGTATAAAGGGTCCCCCTTTTGTCAATGGCTTAAGATTTTTGAGTATGTCCTAACTTTTCTTTTGTCCCTTTAATTGATATTGTAATTTAATTTAATCATATTTTGCAGGGGCTACTTGGTTTAAAGAGAGGGTGGAATCAAAATTATATGGAAAAGTGGAATCTTCCAAAATGTACAGGGTAAGAAGAAATATGACAGGCAAGGAATAAAATTTGGGATGTCTAAAGAACAAGATGAAAAAGAAAAAGATCTCTGTTAAATATGTAAAATAATGTTTTATCCCAAATCTTGTATACATGGCTAAAACTTGTAAATAATTACATGGGAATAATGTGAAAGTAATATGCACTATAAATTGAATTCAAATTATTCAGGGGTCTTTATTCAGCTGGAAAGGTTGACTTTTCTTTATATGTACATGAATTTGTAGAGAAGATTGTACCAGATTCTTAAACAATGGAGTTACTGCCCGACAAAAGCTTTAACATGGAGGACGCCCAAATCCAGTATTACGGTGATATCTGACCCCGGGGATTAAAGGCAACCGTCATCAACGAACTCTTAGATGTAAGTGAATCATCAACAAACTCTTACATGTAGATGTAAGTGACATAAGGTTGAGTCAAAACCGTCATCAACAATTCTTAGATGTTAGGGACATAAAGTTCAGTCAAAATAGTCATCAACAACTCTTATTAGATGTAAGTGACAGAAGGTTTGTTCAAAACTGACATCAATGAAATCTTAGATTTAAATGGCATATGTTCAGTCAAAACTCTTAGATGTACGTGGCATATAATAAGGTTAATTCAAAACCATCAACAATGAATTCTAAGATGTAAGTGACATAAGGTTCAGTCAAAACCGTCATCAACAAATTACAGTATAGATTTATGTGATATAGGCTTCAAACAAAGGTTCAGTCTGAGTAGTTCATGGAGTCTAACTTTGATGTCTTTTGCCATGTTTTCTTGACATCGATATACATGGGAATCCCTCATGTTTTACACTCCAAAGGTAAAAAACCAGTATTTCTTTTTTATAGTTAAGAATGCAGGAGCCGTGTTTTGATGTACTGAGGACACAGCTACAGCTGGGATACACTGTATACTGTCAGAACCTGGTCACCAATGGCATCATGGGACTCGCTGTTACAGTCCAATTCCAAGCCCAGAAGTTCACGTAAGACGCATTATTTGTGTATACCAGACTTTAGTTTAAATTTATCCCACTGCAAATAAATATTAATGTAAAATAGTTACTGATTCAAAACAATCATATAGTGCCAAGGTTTTTTTTATAAAGAGTTCCGTATATACTCGCCCATAAGTCGGTCCGCCTATAAGTCGGTGGTATTTAAAAAGCTTGTATATCAGATGGACTGACCTAATAAAACCATATTTTTAATGCTCGCCATAATCGGATAAGATTTTTAGCCAGAGATTAACCCCCAAAAAAAACACTTATAGGCAAATATTACAGTATTTTTCATTAATTTTGATTGATACCACAGTAAAATGAATTTTTATGACGTATTTTTAAAAGAATTGATAAACTACATTCTTATAATATTTGTAGGAGCATGAGGTTTGACAACCATTTTTTCCTGAACAAGTTCAAAGAGATGTTGGATGAAATGTCCAAAGAGGAGTTTGATACATTGGTAAATGCAATAAAATAATAAAGCACAAATTAAATTCTGTTGTTTGAGCAATTCATACCTTTTTTGGGTTTTGGGCCTAATCCCTGTGGGACATTTAAGATCTTTGTTGTCCTTGTCCTAAGTCCCTGTGGTATATTTAAGGTGGATTCATAGCAGCCAAGCTTACAGAGGACACTAGTTAAAGGGGGAAGTCAACAGATACTGGGGGGAGTGTAAGGAACAAAAATCGTGTTTGACAGACTAAAAAAATGGTATTGTAAAACAGATAATTATAAAGGTCAATTTTATGTATGTTTTCCTAAAATTTAATTAGACATTTAAAGTCTGAAGTGCTATCAAAATATTTTTTGTAGGTATTCTGACCTGTATGAATGTTATGCTTTTATTTGCTTTTACTGTAGGTAGCTATACTGAGGACGGTAACACTAAAGACCCGCGGAACTGGTACAAACAGTATCTGGGAGAAAATAGAAAAGGATAAGCTTTCAGGTAAAAAAAAATCTCACAAATTTCCCGCACATTAAAAACCCTCTACTAAATATACATTAAATTAAGATTTCTATGTGTTAAGCTTAGTGATTTCAGATTTAAACTTGTTGCTGTTTATTTATTTTTCCCCCCAACCAAAAATGTGTTCAAGTTCTTAAAAAAGTCTTGATGTTTCACATTTGATTTTAATTGTTATTCATCTCCAGGTTCTTGGAAACCCAGAAGTGGAGCAGGTAATAAAGGGGTGATGAATAACCCCCCCAAAAAAACTAACACAGACAAACGTGACAGAGACAGAGCTTGTTGTGAGACCTGTCAAAGACTGAAACTCCCTACCATCAGTGTATCAGTGATATACAGCAGCTCAGATCTAAACTACAATGTTTGACTACCACTTATACAAACTGATGTAGGCTGCATTTAGGCATGTAAAAGTGAGGGGTTGTTTAATATATTTTAATGATTTTAATATTTTAACATGTATAAACAAAAGATACTATCATGTTAAAGGGAAAGGAACTCTTTTAATTACCAGCAGATGCTATTTCATTCGCTATTTCAACATCAAATTTTTTTAATACATAATGGTATAAAGATATGAGATACATGTATAAAGATGTATCATATAGAAATGAACTGAATGATTAACTTTATTATTTAAAACACTTTTATATAGGGATTGGGAAATGTTAGTCCTAATACAAATAACGAAGCCAAGTTTATAAGCGTGTGTCAAAGTACATCTTTGATGCAGTGTGCACATGTGCTTTATCATTTTCAAATTGGATAGAATTAATAAAATATTTCTGTTAATGTTTTTTTTTTTTAAAAATTTTGAGTCACAGAAAAATTAAAAACTAAAAATGAAGAACAATTGGGAAGTACAACGTCTCAGAAGAAGTAGATATCTTTTATGTATAACAACCAGAAAGTCATATTTCTGTCTCATTTTCAGAATGCCCTTTTCTGTACATTTTTAAGATATTGAAGTTAAAGTCATAGGTAATTCAGGTCAAGTCCACGAAACGATCAGAATTTCTTTAAA